AGCCCCTCCTGCTGCTCCAGCCCCTTCCCAGCTCCCTTCCCTTCCCTGCACACGCTCCAGCCCCTCAGGGTCTCTTCCAGGAGGTTCCAGAACTGGACACAGCCCTGGAGGTCCCTCAGCAGTGCCAGCACAGGGGACAATCCCTGCCCTGGGCTGTGCCCACACTATTCCTGATCCAAACCAGGTGCCTCCTTGCTCCCCTGGGCTCATGTCCAGCCCCAAACCAGTGTGCCAGCAGTGAGAGGAGCAGTGAGGAGCTCGTTACCTATCTCGGGTTTGTCCAGGAGGCTGATGAGGATGCGGAAGGGTTTCAGGTAGGCCTGGTGCTGCTCCTCTGGATTATCGGACTCGGGAAATTTCTGGTGCAAAATCACAACCAAGCTCTAGTAAAAGGGAAAACATCAGCACGTTACACGTCAAAGAGGGATTGTTTATTGTTCTATTAAGAGCTGAGGTGGTTCTAAATTCGAGTTTTGTTTAGGCCCGACTACAAATGGAATTTCGGTTTTCCATCCCAGGGCAGACAAATCGATGGCATCTCATCATCTGTTCTCAAGGGCCGGGCTTATTCAGAGCAGCATTTTTAAATAATTCAGGCAGCTCAGCAAAGATGCTTCCCTTTGGTTTCCTCCAATTCCATTTGTGCTGTGAGCACATAAATATTGGGATAAACACAGCACAGCAGGCACCGAGAGAAATGAAAATATAATCACCAAAGGGTGTTACCTTTGGGGACAAAAAGTGAAGGACAAACCAAGTGGCACAGGGAATAATTCTTGACAGTTTGTGCCAATACTTCAAAGGGTCACGAATACATCTGCACACCAACCTCAACCAAAAGATCTTTGGAATATTTCCCAAAGAAATAAACAGCCTGGTCTTCGGAAGCTGTGGAGTCTGGAGCAAAGGTACCGCCTTTAATATCAGAGCCTGCAAGAGAAACAGGGACATCAGGAGCAGAGAGGCAGCGCAGAACACCGAAACCAAACTGCACTTTTAACCTCTGGCATTTCAACACTTGGCTTCAAATTAATTGTCCAAAGACATGGCCCAGTTTGAGGCATCCACACCCATCCAGTCCAGCACAGAAACCAAAACCAAGGCCAGATCCAGGCATGGCATCAGCAAGGAAAGCCTTCATGCAGCTCTCTTGCCCTGCCCCAGTTAAAGGAGGCAGATGTGGAGGAGCTGTAGCTCTCTTATCCTGGATAATTGACCCCCTGTGGGAATTACCAGGCTTTTACTTCCAGGAGAACAAAGCCTTTTTCGGCACTGATTGTTCTGCTGTCAGGCATTCAGTGTTGATTATCCCTGGATTTTGTACAGTACCTAACAGCCATGCATACAGCCTTCTGTTGAGGGACATGTCTCTCCTCAGCAGGGTCTGGGTTGCTGCTGACAGGATGTAGATTAAATCAGCCCTGGGCAGCAGAATCGAGCTCTCATTGCAGTCCTGGGGTGGAAAACAAAGATATTTCAGCTCTTTGTGAACACTCAAACAAGTAAAGTTGGTTTTTTTTTTAACAGGGGGTATTAATGTTTTGAAAAAAGGCAACAAACATCAATAAGATAACTTTGTACAGTAAAAATCTCAAGAAAGGGAATCTGACATGATTGTAATCATGGAATCATGGAATGGTTTCGGAGGGAAGGGACCTCAAAGATCTTCTAATTCCAATCCCCATGGGCAGGGACACCTTCCACCAGCCCAGGTTGCTCCAACCTGGCCTTGGACACTTCCAGGGATCCAGGGGCAGCCACAGTTTCTCTGGGAATTCTATCCCAGCCCCTCCCCACCCTCCCAGGGAAGAATTCCTTCCCAATCTCCCATCCAACCCTGCCCTCTATCAGTTTGAAGCCATTCCCCCTTGTCCTGTCCCTCCATCCCTTGGAAATAGTCTCTCCCCATCTTTCCTGGAGCTCCTTCAGGTCCTGGAAGGTCACAATCAAGTCACCCCAAAACCTTCTCTTCTCCCTAAGACTTAAAAATACTTGCTGTGCTCAAAATACATCCTGTCCTACCAGGCAAGTCGGGAAATAATGGGAACAACTCCTGTTTCAAGTAATATTTTCTCCTCTAGTCTTCATCAGAAGTATCTTAGTTCAGTGCAAACGATTCCAAATGCTGAAATCCTACTTGAGAAATCTCCATTATTTATTCCACATGAATTTCTCAGGCCTAAATCCCAAATATCACAGCATAACCCCTGTTATGAAATCACATCTTCAGGCACATCTCTTGAAGAGCCTGAGGAGCATCAAGCAGAGTCTCCTCCACTGCTGATGGGGCACAAGAAACCACCAAATCCATCGATTTTGAAGGCACAAAATTCAGCCTTTTGGCAGTGCCAGAGGTGGGGGCTGGGCTGGTTTCACACAGCACACCTCCCATGGGACAATCCCCCCAAAAAATCCTCTTACCAGAGCTGTGTAAAAGGGGAAGAAGAAGAGGATTGCTTCCAGAGTGTTCCTTTGCACAAGGACATTGGAATCCAACACCGACACACACAGAGACTTGATCTGCAAAAAAGGGAATTTTTCACTTCAGTTTTTTTAACTCCTTAACAACCTTTAAGCTATAATCAAATAATCATGAGATGGAAAGGAAGCAAACTTGGCTACCTGTCAACAATATTTATTTTAAATAAAGGATAATTTGATAAACTGAGCCACTTAACTCCTGCACCCAAAATGAGCTCAGTTTTTTATTAAAAGAATGGTTAATACTTAAGAAATACTTGATTTTGTAACGATACAGAAAGTCCCAGAGTTACATCACCAGCTACCGGCCAGGCTGTGATGCCTCACAAAATGCAGATACTCAAGCACTCTAATTAGCCTTCCAATTACCCCATCACTCAAGTCAACACGAACTGCCACCTGCTGAAGGTTTTCCATTTTGCTGGGTAAATCAAAAGCCACCAAACTGCAGAACTGTCCTGCAGAGCTGACTTTGGGAACCCCACATTAAACACTTATCACCCAGCAAAGCTGCTCCTCAGCACGAAATGCCTCCAGCAATTTTAAAAGCAAGGACCTTTCAGCTTCTTTTTTTTCTTGCTCCTAAAATATTTGTTGTTGTTCTGACTCAAGGCCCGACCTGCTGGGGGTGTGGTGGATGATGAACTCACTGTGAGCTCGTGATCTGTGCCAAGCATGAACTTCTGCTGCTTCCCTGAGAGCTCCCTGTCGATGTGAGTGACCACGAAGAGGGAAGCAGGGAGCCTGATGGATGGGCTGACCAGGACACTGCCCCACAGAGCTCCATAAAACACCTCCTGGCCCATCAGCAGGGACAGCTTCACCAGCAGAGCGTCTGTCCTGGATGGAAATAACATGGGATTTGAGGAAATTATATTCACAGAAATAGTGCTGGAGGTGATGCGATTGGATTGTTTGATTTTCTCGTCTCTGTGTTATCAGTGCTGCCCTTTTCCTGATGGATGTTTTGGGAGGGAGGAGGCACCTTAAAAATCAGCCAGTTCCACCCCCACCCATGGGCAGGGGCACCTTCCACCAGCCCTGGACAATCAGACAAATCCAGGTGTCCAAAAACAACCTCCCCAACCCTTTGTTCTTGGGCACAGCCGCTGGAATTGGGTTCCTGCACAAACTTCTCCAGGAAACTCCTGCAAATATTAAGCCCTGACCAGACTTGCTGCAATACCTCTGATTGCAGAACTGGGAAATGCTGAATTGGAAGCAATTTAAGCTTAATTCAGACTCTCAAAGGCGTTTTTTTCCCTGCCCTATGGAATTTTAGTCCTTAGTAGTGAAGGTGCTGAAAATGTTCAGCCTCAGCATTGAAGAAGAATTCAAAAAGCCACCTGAGACATCTCAGTCTTGCAGAAGAATTTCCACGAGCAAACTAAAGAAAAGCTGCCTCTTGTTGTTTCTGCATGTCACAAAATGACATTTGATGGATTAGAACCCCAATTTGATGGATTTGAACCCCAATTTTTCACAGTGAAATGTGCTCTGATTTCACAGTTCCTGCCTC